TAAAGGGGAAAGAGCAACCAAAGGACTTACATGCAGGCATATAGGCCTAACAAATGGACACGGACAATGGGGGGGGAGGGCTGAGCGGGGGGGGAGGGGGTAGAGGGTAACGTGGGGACAAGGACACATATGTAATATCTTAATCAATAAAAATATATTTTAAAAAAGACTACTAATTTGCACTTACATATTAGATGAAACATGATATTTTATGGGATCTTCTCCTCAGATATTCTATACATTTCTTTACTGTCCAAATTGTGATGCATACATAGTACACTGAAAATCCAATTCTTCTATATGTTTCTGATTCCATTGTATTTTTCAGAATAAAAGTCCATTGCACTGGCAGAGCAAAAGTCCTGGTTGTAAGCAACGAAAACTGACCCTGGTTGATTTAACATTTAGTAAAAGGATATGGGGATTTACTGATAGAATCCCAGACTGGGGGTTATGGAGCCTGGAGCAACGGCTAGAAGCAAACAGCAGAGCCGGTCAGTCTGGTTACCCCAGCTGCCAGAGGCACCAGGCTCTAGACCTGCTCTGCCAACCCTCCTGGCCCTGGACACGGCAGTTGTGCCAGACCAACAGCAGTTGCCACCATCCCCAGGAAAGACTCACTGTGATGCCTGTTTCTTTGCATCCTCAGCTCTCAATTAGGGGCATGTGAGTGTGTCTGAGTGGTGGGGGCCAGGTCACATGCCTGCCTTCCTGCTCAAGAGATCCTGGAGGAGCAAATGAAACATAGCTTCTACCGGGGATGAAGGTGGTGGAACCCCCTAACTCAGGAAGCAGTGTCAGCTACTGGGCTCTCACAGTGATAAATGCCCATCAGAGGGTCAGAAGATCAGGAAAAACATTCTGCCTCTTCAGCGGAACAACAGATGTGACCCCAAATCCTGGACCATTACTTGGAGGCTGTTCACCACAGAGCAGAGGGAACACATTGACTTCCCTGTGTTCCTCACCATCAGCCAATCATCGGCGAAGGCCAGTTTAAAAATGAACTAAGTTATCCAAGGTGGAAGGGAATACGTGATCCTCTTCCACTGTAGGTTTTAGCAAATGTTCCTCTCTGAATCTAGCGAACATCCTGTAGACTGCAACTGAGTAAGGCCCAGAAAGCTTTCCTTAGCATTGCTTTTAGAGCAGTTGAGACTTCAGTTTAAATAGGTAGCTGTAATAATTAATAATAATTAATAATAATAATGATAGGCTTTAAATCAGAGTGTTTCACCAAAGAATATTTTAAATAGTTCTCATTTAGGTATTTATTATTTCATGTAGTTGCTAAAAAAATCACAGAGCTTGAATGTGCATTGTATCATCATTTATATTTAATTTTAAGGGAAATTTATGCTAAACATAATCTTAAGTATTTTATATATAAAATAGATATGGCAAATAAAAACAACCTTTATATTAGCTAATTTCCTTGACAGCATGTCAGTCACTGAGCAATTTTTATACAACCCAATGCTAAGCTTTAGGATTTAGACATCTTCATGGTCCTATTTTCATTATTTCAAAACCTCCAAAATATTTCAGAATAGTCATTAGAGACAGTATGTTATTATAGCAATAGCATCCCAAGTGATTTCTTATGTCATAGATGCTGGTTCCTTTGGAACAGGTAGAGTTATTTAGGCATTTCCTCAGTCCCTTTTGGGATAATCTGTAGTTCAGCTGGGCCCCTGAGCATGCTTCTCACACCTCCTTCAGATCTTTGAACATACCTGTTTTGTCTCTAACCATCTGACCAAGATGTTTCTGTTATAGTCCAGACCGAAGGGTGGGCAATGGTCTAAGTGACCTCAAGGGTAAGGGAGAGCAGTTGTCCTACCAGACTTGTGAGGCTTCCTTTGCTTTCCAAATGCCCAGTGACTCACCTCAGAATCTTGTTTAAGTTAAACAGTTGTACGGGGATTGTCAGAACTGAAACCAAGCGGCTCTCAGAACCAAGATTAGAATCCAGGAACTTTCCAGTGTTAATTCAGAGTCATAGACCACCTCAACATCTGCCATTCTACCACAGCTTCCTTTCAGTAACTACTTAATGGCAGTGTTTATCTCAACTCTGCATTTCCCAAACCGAGTTATTAATCAGACGCATCTCCATGTCCACTGTGAGTGAGACGGGCATAGTTCAGGCCCTCAGGCTTGCCAGGAGGGCAGTAAGCCACTTGTTTTTCTTGGCAGATACCTTTGTCTGCATGTGGTTCCTTCTCTTCTTTCCTCAGACCACAAGATTCACATTCCTTGGAGCCTAGAGGACCCTCAGAATGATCTTCACCTTGGCTGCAGTCTGTCGCAAGTACCATATAGTTTAACCCCTCTTGGTTCTTGGTTTCCATTAAAGCAATTGGCACACCGTCATCCAAATTCACACAAACCCTGTTGCCATCTTCATCTGTGGAGAAAAAAAGTTACTCCAGCATCTATTTGATTTCCTTTATTTGTATACAGGCAGTATGAGAACTATAACACCAACCTTACACATTGGTTCAGCAAACATTTATAGGAGGATCACTAATGGAACACAAAGATAACAAGACATGCTCCCTGTCCTTGAGGCTTATACAGGCTAGCAGGGCAGTAGCTCTACCTTAGGGGGTGATGTGTGCCATAATGAAAGAACACATAACATGCGGGAGAGTCCTCAGCTGATTAACTCTGCTAGAACAGGTGGAGCAGGTCATGGTCTTTATGATACAAATGAAGAAATCATGGCCCCTTTTGTCTAAAGTGCTTACCCTTCCATCCTGCCACTCCAGCTAATCTACCTTTAAGGATGTATTCCTTTATATCACATAATTTAATCACTTATTAAAATATATAATGTATGGGATGCCTACTATGTGCCAGGCTCGGTTCTAGGTACTGATGGCACAGCAGTGAATGAAACAAACTTCTTTGTTCTTCGGGGTTTACATACTAACTGGGGGAGACAGACATAAATTAGCAGACAAATAAGTGTATGTCCAGTGGTAATAAGCACTATGAAGGAAAATTAGGTGGAAAACGGAGCAAGAAAGTAATGGTGGGAGAGGGCTGTTTATTCTTTTTAATCTTTATTATTGAAAGTATTACCTGTGCCCCACCCCCACCCCATTGACCTCTCCCAGCCTGCCCCAACCCATCGCCCCTCCCTCCCCCCAGGCCTTCACCACCCTATTGTCTGTGTCCATGGGTTATGCATATATGCATACAAGTTAATTGGTTGATCTCTTCCCACCTACCCAACCTCCCCTGCTTTCCCTCTGAGGTGTGGCAGTCTGCAAAGTCCTCTTCCATGAGGCAAAATTCTAGTAGAGACCTGAATTAAGTGAGAGAATTTGCCGTGTGGCTATTTTAGGAAGAAGATTCAAGGGAGAGAGAGCAGTAAGAACCAGGGTGTGGCCAGAGGAAGGCGGGGCAGCGAATGTGGCTGTCCCTCCCCCGCCACCCCACAGGGACAAACAGCATATAAAACCCGCTAACAGTAATTGGCAAATTTAAAACTAGCATGCTTCCGCCCTCAAAAGGCTGATGGGAAATGGACACTGGCCTGGCAAGTTATGATGGCAGGATGGAGGTAGAAGGAAAATGACACGATACATGTTATTAACAATAAAAATTGTTGATACCTATGTATCAGGCACGATTCGAAGCTATTTACAGTACATAGAGTAACATATTCTTCTAGTAAGTAAATACAAGTATTATCTCCATTTAAGGAGATGCAGAAACTGAGGCCCAGAGGGGTTAAATAATTTGCCCAGAGTCACACAGCTGGAATTGGAGCCCAGACTGTCGGGCTCAAGTCTGTGTCCTCTTATTCATCCTCCCCCAGAGAAAGGTGAAGTTGCTGTGCTGTGTGAGGCGGGCCCATGTGGGTGGGCAGAGGGCCCTACAGGAATTCCAGGGGAAGCACGGGCTCAGATGTGTGTCTGATGTCACGTGGCAGCAGAAAAATGAACAGCCAGAAGGTCACTGAGCTTCTTCACAGTTTTGCTCTTATTATTATTTCTTTCTCTACTTAAAGGCTGACCTTCTTACACAAAGAAGTTTAAGAACTCATGTTGAAACCCAATAACAGAGCTTCGGAAACATTTCACAACATTCTAGGACTCAGTGGTCGGCAAACTCATTAGTCAACAGAGCCAAATATCAACAGTACGACGATTGAAATTTCTTTTGAGAGCCAAATTTTTTAAACTTAAACTATATAGGTAAGTACATTATTACTAACTTAATTAGGGTACTCCTAAGGCTTAGGAAGAGCCACACTCAAGGGGCCAAAGAGCCGCATGTGGCTCGTGAGCCACAGTTTGCCGACCACGGTTCTAGGTAATCAAAAAGATAAATACATAATACAAGATAAATACACACAGGCATATTGTGGGAACTTTTTTATCAATACTTTCCAATCATTGTACATTAGTACCTGGATTAAAAAAATTATGATCAGAAATAGTATTTTTTTTCATACAGTATATTTGAAAAATCAGGACTATTTCAGTAGCTAGATGATGGTCCTTCCCTTTCTCCTCCCCATCCTTTCGGTGTGACAGCATTCAAACGCACCGTGAGACCTGCTGGCTGCAACCTCTGCACTTAGCCCTGGTGTACATCCAGGTTGGGTTTATTTGCAATGAATTTAAACTAAAATGTAAGAAAATGTCAAAGGAATAAGGGAAGCATATTATATCTATTTTTTCCCATTGAACTTTAATGGATCTATCTATTTACCAAGTTCTACACCTGACACAAAGCTTATTTTATTGTAGAGCATAGTACTACTGTTCCTATTCTCTATTATGTGCTCTTTTTTTTTCCAGACCCTTCCCACTGATGATGAACAGGATGGCCAAGCTGCAGGCTCACGAGCTCTTTGGCATCATCTCATGTCTTCTTTACCATTCAAACATCACCACAGCTTATTTCAAACCACATGAATAGCTGAACAGTGTTGTAAAATACCTTCCCCGCAGAAATAACTATCAGATGCCAGGTCTGGTTAGTGCTGAAGTGCTGAATATCTATGGAAGGATCTAAATGTTATGATTATTACCCATATGCACTAATTGCCATTAAGAAACTTATAAAATTAATTTGCTATATAGAATAACACCCATAGACAAATTAGGCTGTTCCTAAATGGCTTAAAGAAATTAGGCTAAAGAAAAGTTTGGAATTTCAACAAAAAACTTAAATCTACAATATAAGTCCAGCAACTCACTGCCATACTTTTATCCCATTAAATAGCATTCTAATAAAATGTGATTTTAATTTTTTGCCTATTGTTGAGTTATTTGTAAAAAAAAAAACAAAAAAACTTTTATATAAGGCAAATAAATGCTTTATACAAATTCTGGCACCACCTGTCAAAGAAAAACCATTAGCTAACTATGTCGTTGGTTCGTGGTACTTAGAGCAGCAATATTTAGTAACTTGACCCTGGCACACTCTCAGCAATCAGTACATCTTATTGCATAAGGAGACGTGCAGAGGGAGGGAGGGTGGGTAGATCTTTATTTATTTTTGTTTAAAAACTATTGAATAGAAAGCCTACAGGTCAAACCTTAAAACACAGAGACGGCATGTACTCAGCAACCCTCCCTTTAAGAGGGAAATATTAGAATAAAGACTTTGAAG